GCAGCAAAGTTCCTTGATTATTACGCCGGAATGAGAGTATAGTTCCTAGCCATATCGGCCTAGAAAATCACAACTTTTCATTTTCAGTCGGTCTTAGTACACGATGTAACAACAGAAGAGTCAAGTTTTAAATAGGAAAAATATAGAAACTCTTTGGTCATTATTGAGCGCTGGTCTGGAGGCAGAAGCGGAGTGTCCACACGTGAAGTTGAGAGTGATTTGTTAATAAGCGCTCAGGACCATCATCACACAGAATCCTTGAACACTGATCTCTGATAACAGCGTGACGATTCGTCCGCCGCTCAGGGTCAGACGTCTGGATCAGCTGTAAATATCAACTCAAGATCGCTGGAGTTATTCTGAGCCACAATAAAGCAGGACGAACACACGGCCTCCTGTGATTCAGTGAATGAAGAGTAACAGACCAGTGATATTCAGTAATATTACTGAAGTAGCAGCGCTGACACTGAACACGCTTGAGCTGGATCCTGAACTGAACTCTGTTGTCCTCTGTAGAGCTGGAACTGAGTTACTTTCATAATTGAAATTCTGAAATTTGCTGCTTTTGCGATCATGCTGGAGTTTTCCCCTAGAATATGACTTCATTTTTCTGCATTTGGTAATGTCATCACATGTGTTGTATTTGTTGGGATGTAGTGAAACGTGCAGCTGTGCTGTTGTGGCAGTAGTCACAGTGCAGCAGGCAATGTTCCTCTCTCTTCAGCAGACAGTGATCACTCAGTCTGTACTGTGTTAGTGTCTTTCTCACAGCTCAGCTATTCTGCTGGTTTATACTCTCTTTTCAGCTGTAAATATAGCGTCATCTTTTGTATGTTAGTGGCATCTTTCTAATAGGCAGTGTAGTTTTGTCTCTGTGACTGTATAATTGGTTTGGTCTGGACTGTGCTGTGCTGGTTTGAGTGTAGTGTGAGTTTCTGCTGTCATTGCCTGAGATGAGCTCGGTTCACTGCGTTTGAGCTGCTGGTAGATTTTGACAGCTCTTTTTTGAATATTAATTAATAATGGGTATTGTCCTAATTCAGCTCTGCACGAATTGTTTGGGGTTGCTCTGTTAACTTTTAGGATGCTTTTACAAATTTGTGTATACATAATTTATATTCCTTCTTTTTCCCATTTAGACACATCTTATGTTATTATAGGCCTCTCTCTCTCTCGCTCTCGTGGGTCAATCAGAGCTTTTAGCAGGAAAATGCATCGGAACTGCAGAAGAGACGTGAAATGAGTTATGAAACCGCCTCAGCTGCTCTGATTCTCTGATTGATTACAGCAGGAGGCCATCAGAGCCACACCAGACATGCTCACACACATACTCAGAACAAGGCTTTAGAGCAGAGGGATTGCATCAGAATGAATTAAATAAATAAATACAATTAAAATAGAATTTCATTTTGTTTGCATTACTGAAACATTAGTCATAAGTCTCAAGTGAAAATCTGAACTCTTATCAGGCAGACTTATTATAGTTATAGTTAACTAAAGCTACAACCATTAAACAAAATGTTACTGAAATCAAAATAAATGTTAACTGGAATAAAAACAAAAGTAATTTTATGTCATCTAGTTTTCTAAGCAACATTTCTAATTTTCATTTATTTTAGCTTGATTTACTAAAATAACTAAAATTGAAATAAAAATAAAAAACTATATAGACATTTAAAAACAATAATAGCTCATTATGACAAAAACAAACAAAATAATTATTAATTACTAAAACTTTAACTACAATTAATCTGTGTCCCTGGACCACAAAACCAGTCATAAGAGTCCATTTTTTTAATTGAGCTTATTTGAATAAATAATCTTTCCATTGATGTATGGTTTGTTAGGATAGGACAATATTTGGCTGAGATACAACTATTTGAAAATCTGGAATCTGAGGGTGCAACAAAATCTAAATATTGAGAAAATCATCTTTAAAGTTGTCCAAATGAAGTTCTTAGCAATGCATATTACTAATCAAAAATTAAGTTTTGATATATTTACGGTAGGACATTTACAAAATATCTTCATGGAACATGATCTTTACTTAATATCCTAATGATTTTTGGCATAAAAGAGAAATGTATAATTTTGACCCATACAATGTATTGTTGGCTATTGCTGCAAATATACCCCAGCGACTTAACACTGCTTTTGTGCTGCAGGGCCACATATGAAAAATGCAAATATAAAAATAAGTCAGTAAAATCGAACTCAAAATATTAACCCTAACTAATAAATATCACTTTTAGTCTTTGGCTCACATTACTGAAACAGAAGCGTGTTGTTGTCAGTATTGTGTAGCGTGTGTTAGCGGCGTGCTCTGACGGACAGTTTGGCGTTCAGCTGCGCTCTGAAGAAGCGTTTCTCGCACCGGAGCCGCTCCGAGTAGCACAATCACAATGACTCTTTAATCCAGTGTCTCTGTCTCCTCTCTCTGTTCCTCCGGACGCTCTCTCGCCGCAGGTCACCATCTCAGTGGACGGCATTCTGACCACCACCGGATACACGCAGGAGGACTACACCATGCTGGGCTCCGACGACTTCTTCTACATCGGAGGAAGCCCGAACACGGCCGACCTGCCCGGATCTCCCGTCAGCAACAACTTCATGGGCTGCCTGAAAGACGTGAGTCTGACGAGCGCTAACGAGCCCTGCAGCTCCACACAATCAGCTGTTCACTTACAAGTGTGCTCGTAAATCTCTCATTATCACCAAATATTGCATTCAGTCTGTTTTGTAGTGCTGCCCCGTAATATTCGACTAACCGTTAGTCGACCAGAAGAGGCTTGGTCCTCCAAAATTGTATCTGTCGCTTAGTCGCAGAAAAAAATAAAAATAAAAATCCACAGGCGGAGACACACAGATCGTTAACGGCTGGTCTACGGTGCGCTCACTTGCTCTTAAAATACTCCGTCATTTCTGGTCTTACAGATAAGAGTAATACATGTTTCGAATCTGTAAAGACTCTGTTTATTTGTGTGCACTCACAATAACAATAAAACATGGCGCTTGTGTAAAATAATGAAAGCAGTCAGAATGTGCTTTCTGCCATCTCAGTCTCTGTGAACTTGAGCCAGAAACTCTGAAACTCTGTGTATACTTGCCGTACAGACATGACAAACATATCTATAGAGAGTGAAGTGTCCACTTTCAAATAAACCAATTGAAATGGAAGAGAAATATTCTCAGATTATGTGTGAAGCATGCATGCATGCGCATCACTACTGCGGAGATGAGACTTCATCTCTTAAACTGAAAACACAGAAAGCACTAGTGTATCAATTAATTATTAAAATGTTATTAATGCAGTCTTCTTACTGTTTTTCCCTGACACATTCATAACCATTACTTCTGACGGTGCGCCGTGGCAAGCTTTATGCGTGCGCTTGAGCGCTTATTAGGCTATGCAATTAAAGACTCATTATTATGATTTAAATGGTTTATTAATAAACGTGCGATTAGTCGACTAATGCTTCAAATGAACGACTACTAGTCGAGCAGAAAAATCTTTAGTCGAGGGCAGCCCTACTGTTAGGACAGGTTTTGTGCTTCTTTTAGGATGATCATAGTTTTCATTGATCTGAACCTGTGCACCTCAGGTTTTCAGTGGAAACAAGCATTATTTCTGGTTAATTTTGGCAATATTAACTAAAAAACAATCAGTCAGTTCCAGAAAGAAACACAAAGCCTGTGCTAACTGGAAGAAAACAGGCTGATAAAAAGATGGAATCCAAGATTTGGTGATAATATAACATAATCAGAGATTTATAAGCAGGAACACCACAGGTTTAACAAGGTGGGAGAAAATCCCCAAAAATGATCAACGTTTTTTGGTAAGTTGTTATATATCCTGTGTGAGCAAAGTCGGTTTTAGTCCAATCCGATAACAGTAACTATTACAGAAAATCCTCCGGGTCTAAATGAGTGAAACACAATCTGAGGGTCAAAGGTGAAGTGCATCATCTCTGTTTGTGTGAGCAGATGTAACGACAAGTGCTCAGCCAATGGCGTGAGTTTGGGGGCGGAGCTAACTGTTTGAGTGACGGCAGGTGGGCGGAGTGTATTGCTGTTATCACTGTAAATATAGTTTTGCTGCTTGTACAACTAAATTAAAATGAGCTAAAGCAACCGCTGAACATTTTGTCACTACTTCAGTTTATTGTGCTCAATGCAAAATTATGTAAATATGCAAAATTATGTAAATATGTAAAATTCACAAAAATCCATTAGTGTAAATCATGTTTGTTAGATTGACTGAAACTGGGCAGTGGATTTTTAGCTCAGCATAACATTGAATTAATTCAAACATTGAAATGAAGTGTTTTTGGAGTAAGGAGAAAGACCTGCTGGTGTTTAATGTTTGACATTTAAAAAAGCGTTCATGTTGAAGTTTCTGTGGTTCCCATGAATTCTGTATAGTTATTAATGTCAGTCACTCTTTTAAGGTGAGTCTTGTAGTGTACAGTATTAACAACGATTAGCCTCATTTCTTTTAGTGTGTCATAGTTGTTCATTTTTGACAGTCTTTACTCAAAACATGTGATGAAATCTACCTAAACTAATTGAGAGCAAATTCTTTTTTCTTTTCTTTTTTTCATTGACTGCCAAATAGCAGATTTAATTTGATTAGACTGTTGGAATATCATTAGTTTCCCATGGAGCAAAAACCCATGTGAATAGAAATGATATTTATGAGTGTTAAATGCAGCAGATAGACTAATATTTAATGTAATTTCTTCTGTCATTTATTTATTTCCCATTGAGGTTACTCGTAATTCGCTTGTTCGCCTGTTTGGATTACATATTCTTTTGCAAGTGATTACAAGTTTTATGAATCTTTGGTGCAGTTCGCCTTAAACAAATGCCACTTTTCATAAATATTGCTTCCAGCGCTGTTCTGTGAATGCTTGCGTTTATAATCGCTGCTGAAGTTGTGTCTGTAGTGACAGAAATTAATGTTTATTATCAATTACATAGGATGGAAAAACTTAAAGGGGTAATTTCCCTGCTGACAATACTGCTAGAAATGTTTTATTTATTTATTTTTTAAATCTGTGCTACAATAAACTTGCTCTAGGCGCAATTATGTAGATATGGGGCCGGTTGCATAAACCTAGTCTTAAAAAGTTAGTCATCTAATTATTTTTCATAAAGACTTTTTGAATTCAGTTATGAAAAGGCAGATTGGTCGTATTTGTATTGAAGAAGTAAGACTGATTACCCCATTGGTAACTGCGTGTTGGTCAAACTACTTCTTTAGACACAGTCTTAACATGGTGGCAACTCTTTATGCAACTGGCCCCTGGTGTCTACATGATATCTATTGTATTATTTACTCTGATGTTTCTACATAACATAGCACCTAGTTAAACCATGCTTTTAAAGCGTATGTTAAGTAAAATCAAAGTATTGCCAAGTAAGCTTTGACTAAATAAAAATGACTCAAACTTTTACTGGCCAGGCTAAAGTTACTTATTTTCTTTGTTAAATTTACTTAACTTAGGTAAGTAGATTTTACTTAATTCTATATGGGAAATTATATGTAATATTTACTTAATTTCTTTATGAATGTGAAGTTCAATAGTAAGTGTATTGTACAGAGCAGTAGCAGTAAAATTAGCTTAAAATGTAAATGATTTTCTTGTTTAGTATTTTTGTCTTGTTTTCTTGTATAAATATCTAACCATTCTCGAATCAGGATGCATTTACTTGACAAGTAAAATTATTTAAGACTTATGTCTTGTTTTCTGAAAAAAAAAAAAAAATCCAAATTCTGTAAAGCAAGTAAAAAATTCTGTCAATGGGATAAGAAAAATAATCCTGTTTAGCCTTTGAATTAAGATTATTTTTACTGGTTTTAAGCCAAAACAAACAAAATTTGGATAATATTTTCAGATAACAAGACGATAATATCTTAAGTCGTTTTACTTGTCAAGAAAATGCATCCTGATTCAAGAATGTTTAGATATTTAGTTATGTAGTTAGTTTAGTTAGAAACTGTATTGATCCCTGAAAGGGGCAACTCATTTGCCACCACTGTACATTACAAACAACACAAATTATTAAACAACAAACACAATCAATCCATCAACAACCCATTTGCCACTTTACATTGCAGACAGCACAATAAATGACTTAACAATAAGCACAAAAACAATATTAATCCATAAACAACGTACACCATGTTGTTAAAAAACCTAACAGCTGTTGGAATGTTCTGTAGAACACCGAGGCATTACTGATCTTCCACTGAATGAACTCTTGAATCCGCTGAAGATGCCGTTTAGTGGATGTCCTTCGTAATACACAATCCTTTTCAGTGTTGCCCTTCCACAATAACCTCGAGAGAAATCGGGAATAAAACCAATAATTGAACCAGGTCTTTCTGATCGTTTTATTAATCCTGTTTTTATCCTCCACAGTGAAGAGATATACTTATACTAGAAAACAAGGTATTATTTCAGCGCGTGTTGTTTAATGCACTCCTGCAGGTGGTGTACAAGAACAACGACTTCAAGCTGGAGCTGTCGCGTCTGGCCATCGAGAGGGACCCTAAGATCAGTGTGCACGGGGACCTGGTGTTCCGCTGCGAGGACGTGGCGGCCCTGGACCCCGTGACCTTCGAGACGGCCGAGTCCTACATCTCCCTCCCGCGCTGGGACACCAAGAAGACCAGCTCCATCTCCTTCGACTTCCGCACCACGGAGCCCAGCGGCCTGCTGCTGTTCAGCCACGGCAAGCCTCAGAGCAGCAAAGAGCAGCGGCCCGGCCGCGAGATGAAGACCGACTACTTCGCCATGGAGCTGCTCGACGGCTTTCTCTACCTGCTGATGGACATGGGCTCCGGCAGCATCAAGCTCAAGACCAGCAACAAGAAGGTGAACGACGGAGAGTGGTGCCACGTGGACTTCCAGAGAGAGGGACGGAGAGGTGAGGAGTGATGCATACGGGTCTGTGCATGTGAAGACAGTCTGGCCTGCGCTCCCCAAAACCATCGCAGACCATTGAAACCAATGGAGGCTTACGATGCTTTTGAGAAACGCAGCTCTGATCCGCTCCTGATTGGACCAGAAGCGTTGCCAACTAAACAGTCTAAAAATCTCCCTGCAGCTTTCCGCCAAAATAAACACTCGAGGGTTTACCCTTAAAAGTAAATAATTTAGGGTATATTAGTATTGTGCCATTTTGTGTTAAATATAAGTATTGTGATTTCAAAATATAAAAAAATAAATAAGCACTACAGTATAAATGAGCTGAATAAATAATCTTTCCATTGATGTATGGTTTGTTAGGATAGGACAATATTTGGCTGAGATGCAACTATTTGAAAATCTGGAATCTGAGGGTGCAAAAAAATCTAAATATTGAGAAAATCATCTTTAAAGTTGTTCAAATGAAGTTCTTAGCAATGCATATTACTAATCAAACATTAAGTTTTGATATATTTACGGTAGGACATTTACAAAATATCTTCATGGAACATGATCTTTACTTAATATCCTAATGATTTTTGGCATAAAAGAAAAATGTATAATTTTGACCCATACAATGTATTGTTGTCTATTGCTACAAATATACCCCAGCGACTTAACACTGCTTTTGTCCTTCAGGGACACATATTATTATTATTTTTATTTTTTTATGATTAGTTTAACATAATACTAATACTAATACTAATTATTATTATTGTTACTACTGAAATGGTCTCTTTGATTATTTTCTCTGGATGTTTCAGCAACAGCAATTTTAGACATTTTGTTATGAGATTAAATGTCTATCATATGGCAGTTCTATTTGCAATTACAATATATGCCAAAATAATTACATTTTGGACCAAATCATGCAGCTCTACACTGTCAACAATTATTTAAAAAAAAATCAAAATAAAAACAAATAATATAAAATCAAAAATCAAAATAAAACACTTACAGAAACATTAAATATTTTATTTGTTTTCCTGCAAGTCATCAGTGTTAATTAGAGAAGTGTATAAATAGCCATCGTCCATAAATAAATAATAGTTACTGCTTTCGTTGTTTTTCACCCATCTAACCTTGTATTCTAATAAATAAGGTTTTGACACCAATGTTTTAGATACTAACATAATTTCATAATTCCCAATTCCAGTTTTAAAACCACAGTAACATCTACTGCCCTAATATAAAGTTCAGCCTATACCTATCAAGACAAGTAAACATTCAGTAATAAACTAAGAGCAAATACACAAATCACAAGCACTAGCACAAATAAATACAACAGAGCAAAGATACACATGAAATAACGAGTGCATTAATTCATTTGGCAGACGCTTGTCCGAAGCGACTCACATTGCATTGAATGTTTGTATGAGTTCTTGCATTCCCTGGGAATCGAACCCATTACCTCAGCGTCGCTAACGCCACACTCTATTGTTTGAGCTACAGAAATTTGAAGTTTGAGCTCGAACGGGTTTGGAATATGGCTGCTGTAGAGCATTCACTCCAGCACGTATCGCTGCTAAAGCGCGGCCAACGAGACGCTGTTAAACCCCATCGACGCTGCCAAAGGCTGCTCCATTTGCTGTGATGGGCTAATCGAGTGTAAGACTAGAGGAGGTGGGCGTGTGTCCTGTGGGGAAGAAAGTCCAGCAGTTCTGTAATTGCAGCTTAATAGACAATTAAGAGTAAGTCATAAATCTCTGCGATCTGCCGAGAGAGCAGCGCTCATGCCGAAATATCGCTCATGCACACTTCTTGATAAAAAACGATCAAGCGTAATCAGGCAGGCATCTAAAATGATTGGGTACCCACAGACTCAACTGTTAGATCTGTATAACAGTGTAAAGAGAAAAGCAGCTTTTGTTGCGGACCCCTCTCATGCTTTGCATTACTTCTTTCAGCATCAGGTTGTCAGTTCAGAACTCCTTTGGCCAGAAGGAAGGCTTATAGTAATGCAATTTATATTCTAAATAAGGCCAAGCAGTTTGTCAGGATCTTGTATCTTAGGTTTGTTGTTATTTATTCTAGAGGAGTTGTTGTGGATTAACTGTGGTTTGGTTGTCGCGTGAGCTTTTTTGTATTGTGTATATGTGAGCCTTTTACCTAAGACAAATTTCTATCAATAGCTATGTTTCCATCCAAAGATTCGAGTTAAATTTATGAATATCACATAAAATGTTTGCGAATAAAGCACCGTTTCCATCCAACGAGTCCAAGAGAACAAAATCGTCCCTTCCTGATAAACTTGCACTGTATATCACCAAGAAAACTAGGAGAAGCCACTGAATATAATAATTATGATGAATGACTTGCGTCTCAGAGCGAGCAGACGAAACACAATAAATGCCGCCATTGCTTTCAGAGGAGGACGTAACACTTTATCTGGATCATCCACTTTAGACATTCTACTAACAGTAAGTAACTTTGCAACTATGCGTCAACTAGCAGTCATTAGAGTATTAGTAGACTGTCTGCTTAATATCTGCTAACACTTTATTTTGATGGGTCCACAACATACTGACTATGAGAAACTTTGCAAGTATATGTCAACTTACTCTACTAACCCTAAACCTACCCTA